TTAAAAAAGTATTTTTCATTTTACGGAATTCCATCCAAAATTATTTCAGATCCCGGTGTGGAATTTAACAATGTACTTTTAAAGGAAATGCTTACATTATACAAAATCAATCTACACGTTGGTACCGCGCACAACCCCAACTCTATGGGACTTATCGAATGGTTCCATTCAACTATTACTGAAATTTACCGTATTGCGAAATATGAACACAAAATTACAGACGCTACATCAGTGATAACATATGCTGTTATGTCATACAACCATTCAATTCATTCTTCGACAGACCTCACGCCGTTTTAAGTAGTATTTGGGCACACCGAATCCAATAGTACATTCGCCGTAGATTTTGATAAGCAGTTCACGCAACAGTTAGTATTGGAACACGCCAAAAGGACCAAATATTTATATGAACATATTACAAATAAGTTAATTGACAAAAAATTACTGTAAGACAGAATTACGCAGATGAATCTCAGTTTGGTATAGATGTAGGTGATACTGTATTCATAAAAGGTGTACTACAAGACGGGGTAAGGATAAACCGCGTTACCAAAAGGCTCATGTCACCGGTGCTATAAAAAGAAATGTAGTTCCCGTTGAAACTAATAAACGTATCACAAATGTTCCTATTAAAGATATTAAACGTCCTTCACAGATTATTTCCACTGGTGATCCGAATAATGGGAATCCAGGTCCTTCATCTGCTTCGCATTGACAAGAACCCGGGATTGTTACCTGTGGACGAAGGTCAAGCATTTGTTAATTATGATAATTGGATAGTTATTAAGATATTAGATTTAAATTTAATTTACGAGGATTTAGAGTCAAGTATGCATAGATACGGGTTGCTTAAAAAGCATGTTCAAAATTGTTTCGATATCTGAATCAAATGAGATTCAGATTTTTATAACCGTTCAATATCAAACTGATTATACTTTGAATGTTACCATCGACAAATTTAAGCAATTAATTCCTTCATTACGAATCAAAAGAGGTCTCCTCAATCCGATAGGCTCTTTGATAAAAACTATCACAGGTAACTTAGATAATGATGACGCTCTTAAATATGAAAGATTAATAAGTAAATTATATACGGAACAAAATTCAATTAAAAATAAAATGACAATAGTTATCGAAATGGTGGGCTCCTTTACAAATGTGGCAAATTCTACTAAAAGCAATTTTATACGAATAGAAGATAGTATTCAAAATATTAATCAAGCTTTAAACAAATCCAATTTTAGACAAACTATTACCAAAATTATTCACCTTTATAATATCTTTCTTGATAACTTTCATAATTTATATTCCCATTCAAATAAAATCGAAACAGCCATTGCTTTTAGTAAAATTAACGTACTGCATCAAGCAATTATTGATACGGAATAACTTATAATATTGTTGAAGGAAATAGAACAAAGTGATAAATTAGTGTTTCCTGTTACTTACGAAAATATTGTAAAATTAGAAAGATGTATCGAGATAAAAGCCTATATAAAACAAAATCTGATAAAATACATTATGAGTACTCCACTAATTAGAAATGAAATTTTTAACTATTATAAATATTAATTCCCTTACCTGTGTTATATAATGGCCAGACGACTCTCATCCTACTTAAAAATCCTTACCTACTTGTGAAAGGGTTGAAAGCAACACCACTCTTAGTCATGCCGCGAGGTCGACGAACGTCGATTTCTGTGTTACGAGAACGACATACAACCCTTCACCGATGACAACTGTGTCATAGAAATCATGCAGTTTCACACAAATATCTCAAGTTGTCACCCGATCCCTGTCACTCTTGAAAATGTGAAGATCTACGTCATACTACCAAAACGCTGGATAGTTTACTCAAATACTGAAACAGCCATGACTAAATTCTGCGACAGTGAAGTAAGCCAAGAGATTCTACTAGGAACCCATCCTTGACTATGGATGATAACTGCAAGGTTAAAATCAAAGGATACGAACTAAAAAGACATCAGACTCAAGGTAAAGAAATAACTTTCCTTAAACAACCAATGATAAACGTACCAAAGATATTATTCGGCTCGTCAAATACCCTGAAGAAGCCTATGAACCTCGATGGAATTAATATAGCAGACGTACAAGTCCTGAACTTATTACTGCAGAGAAGTATGGGAGAAATTAGTATAGTGAGTTAAGTGAAAATGAAAAAAGTGAAATTACTATTAAAAGTGTTAGCTTAGTGAACATTATAATCTTAGTTATAATATTAATTAATTTAAGTATTATTTTTAAATATAAATTGATTAAAATCTGTAAAATGTGGAAAATTCGGGATAATCCCGAGGATAATCCCGAACTTGTGGAGGGAGGAGTTATATCGCCTCAATCCGTCCCTGGCTCAATATTCCAAACAACCACATCAGCATTTTCATAAGAAGCCAAGTTAGATATCTGTGTATTGTAAGACAAACAACCACACATATCCCGTGATCATCATCATCATCATTACAGCCCTTCACAAGTCCACTGCTGAACATAGGCCTCCCCCAAGTAATGCCACAAAGCATGGTCCTGAGCCACCTGCATCCATCGACTTCCTGCATGTCTTACCAGGTCGTGACTCCATCTAGTGGGTGGTCGCCCTACACTACGCCTACGGGTCGAGGCTGCCACTCGAGAACCTTTCTTCCCCATCGGTTATCGGTTCTTCGAGCTATAAGGCCGGCCCATTGCCACTTCAGCTTACTAATCCGTTGGGCTATGTCGGTCACTCTGGTTTTACTGCGGATATCCTCATTTCTGAGTCTATCACGCAGAGAAACTCCGTGCATAGCCCTCTCCATAGCTCGCTGAGCGACCTTGAGCATCCTCATACGGCCAGCGGTGAAGGACCACGTCTCTGATCCGTAAGTCATCACTGGCAACACGCACTGGTTGTACACTTTAGTTTTCAGAGATTGAGGTATACCTGACGAGAAGATGTGTCGTAATTTCACGAAATGATTCGACGATATGATAATAGTTTAGACTTATTTTAATAACATTAAATTTAATTCATTCTGTAACTAACCACCTTCGGAAGAACATTAAATCATTTTATATTTTAAATTGTGTTTTTAAAAAGACTGTCGAGGTCCGTCGCAATTTAAGTACGTAATAATAGATGCACGAACGCACGCACGCACGTACGCACATACATACTGACACCATCGAAAAATTATCTATACACAATACATACATACATACAGACGCCATCGAAAAATTATCAGGATGGCTTCCTGTGAACTCAAAACATCAAGATTTGATGAAAACTCAATTTTCGAAAAATGGGGTAAAAACAATAACTTCCAGAATTTTAAAAATTTTCAATTTTGTTGAGGGATATTAATAAAACACAATTATACTACCGATCACACTAGCTCGCAGCTTATCGCTTCGAAATATTCGCTTATATCGCCAATTCAATACTCACGCGGTCGCGGTCCTAACCGGCCTCATATAGGGCCTCTTCTACGGAAATATCTAGAATGGTCGAGTACATAACAATCCCGACTGGCTAGATGTAGAAAATTGTAGTATGGAGTTTTCTAGAAAGATCTTGACTCCTAGTTCTGCTACTCGATACTAGATAGCGCTAGTGGTAACTCGTCATGTACCAGGCATTAATTATAGCGCTCAACTCTGCTCCCTCCTAAGACATGCTCGTCTTGAGTATTATCGGTTACGTAATAACGCTTCAATCGATCCACATGGACGATCTTAGAAGTACCTCTTGCACCTTTCTGTATCCGGTAGGCTACGTCATCGATCGTTATCATAATCCAGTACGGTCTGTTCCATATGGTTTGAAGCTTAGGAGATTTCCCTTTGCTACGGACTGGATTGTGCAAACACACTAGTGAACCTTCGTCGAACCCTTTGTTGTTCATTTTGCGGTCATACCGGGTTTTCATCTCTTCAGACATTTGCTGGCCCGATTGTCTGACGTGCTCATAAATATCATTCATTTTGTTCTGCAAGTCATTTGCATAATGGGTCGTACTGTGTGGGGCATCAGGTGGTATTCCGGTGATCAGGTCTGCAGGCAGCCGTAATTCTTTTGCAAAGTACGCGAAAGCTGGTGTCACTGTACTTTCGTGAACGGCGCTTCGATATGACAAGAAAAACGGTTGTAAGTACTTGTCCCAATTTCGTTGCCGACTTCCCACAACATTTGCTAGGTACCTCTCCAATGTCTGATTAAGTCTTTCTACCATTCCATCAGATTGCGGGTGGTAAGAAGTTGTTCTTGTTTTATGAGTACCTTTAACTCGGCAAGTTGCCTGGAATATTTGAGACTCAAAATTCCTTCCTTGATTGCTGTGAATCTCTAAAAGTCCTCCAAAACGACGAAAGACTTCCTGAACTAGTTTATCTGCAACTGTTGAAGCTTCTTGATTTGACTTCTGGCCACTTTTGTGTAGAGTGAAGTATTCCATCACAACCGTGAAATATTTATTGCCACTTTCACTATCCAGAAACGGCCTCGCAACGCCAAGGGTTATCCTCTACCACGGTGCACAAACATTGTATAATTTCAATGCACCTCTTCTATTAGCCTGAGGTCCCTTCAACGCCGCACAACTTGTATATTTGTGACACCAGTCCTCGATATCGTTACGAAAGTGGACCCAGTAAAACTGTTCTGGTATTGTCAGCAGAATTCGTTTAACTCCCAGATGGCCTCCTGAACAACCATTATGGTACAGCTGTAGAACATCCGGCACTCTAGCTTTGGGGACAACCATTTGCAAATGACAGCAGTCACCCCGACCATTTTCTCATTTACGACAAAGGAATCCATCCTGAATCAGCAAGTTGTCCCATTGGGCCCAATACCTTTTAGAACTCATCTCAAAGGCGTCGCCCCACTTGGGCTATGAATTACTTTAGAAACCTTTTTCAGGAAAAATTATGATAGGTGAAAATTTCTGAAAGAATTCTTAGTTTTGGTATAACACAGTGCTACTCCACATTTGTCACACATGTTATACGTAAATCCAGCGCACTTTGGAAGCTTGCATCTCATTTTTATTAGACCATTGTGGCCAGTGGCCTATCTGGTCTTGGCGTACTGCCATTGGCGGCACGTATTGTGCAGGTCCTTTGCGCTTTTTAGCTTGAATATCGGTCTCCAGCGAACGCCGGCCAGACATACCAGACTTTGTAACCATTTTACATAGGGTCACTGCAACCTCCTGACGAAAATCTGCTGATGATAAAATGCTTGATGCTGAAAGTTTTTTGTATTTTGAGACTCTTTTATAAAGTAACCATGCATTAGCCATCGTGAAGTATAGATAATGGTAGAACAAGCGCACCTGCCATCGTTTACTACGTAGCCGTATTTTGTAGATGCCCATGATGCTGTCGATGAGGTCGACCCCACCCATGTGACGATTGTACTCTCCAACTACATAAGGTCGCTTTATAGTCGCATACTTTGACTTTTGCTTATCCCATCTTCGTACATCAGCTTCTGGTTTTTGTCCAGCAAAAGTTGAAGCAAGGAAGAGTATTTTATTATCCTTCCAAGCAACAGTCTACACATCGATTCCGTTGACTACACTACGTATTCTTCTGAATAACCCCGTTCTTTTTTCATAATTTCCTTTTCTGCTTACAATTTACAATCTGGTATTCTATTTCTTCTCACTGTACCAAGACTGTGGATACCTTCTTTAGCCAGATACTCCAACAAACGACGAGAGGTAAAATAATTATCAAAACATAGCTGGAAATTTTGGTGTCTTGGAATTATGCGCGCTAGTCTCGTGACGACGTTGGATGATGCACCCAAATCAGGCTCTTCTTGTAGGACAACATTTTCCTTACCAGTTTTAATTTCAGTTTTATAAGCAAGTCCAGAAACGTCACTCAACACGAAGATTTTGTAACCCCATTTGTTTGGTTGGTTGGGATTGTATCTCTTCAATGTATTTCGTGCTTTAGTGGAGCACATTTGCTCGTCAACGCAAAGGTGCTCTTCCAATGTAACTTTGCTGTAGACCTCATTCAAAGAGTTCATAACCAGTCTTATTTTGAAAATTCGGTCATGTTCAGAGTTGTTTCTGGGAAGGTCCTTGCTGTTATCATTGAAATATAAAGTCTTGCGAATTTTCTCAAATTTATTCAATGACATAGTTTCTTGAATTAGTGTTGTACCTAGGATTAGGCTTCAATGATTAGTAACTCTAGGTAACTGGATAAGAGACATTACATATACAACACCTATGAATTTCCTGACATCCATTTCTGTCATACGTGTACTATTGGGATCCTTTTTAACTCGGTAAATGTTTGTATCTTCTGCAACCTTTTGTATGAGTTCTTGAGGAAACAGGTACAAAAGAACTGTATGGGAGTATCAAGTTCTAGAAGATCAGGACCCAAGGTCTTGTTTTCCTTGAACATGAGCTGCTCGGCATTCAACTCAAGATTTTCCTTCTTCCAGCGTATTATCAACTTGGCGGGCTTTTTCTTACCTTGGGATTGTTCGTTGCTCATTTGTTGGTTGTCTTGGACTGAAGAAAACTGAGGAATACTTACGTTTGATGGGGCAATTTCTGCGCTAGCCGATGAGTTTACGTGGTCATCTTCTAAAATTTCGATTAGAGAATCATGTCAATGTCCAACGCCACATTGTCATCTTCGAATGTTTCCAGTTCGGGTATAAAATCGGGGTCCGCAAGACTGTCATCGTCATAATCTAGACCATCGTCACTATCCGCACCATCTTCCAGCGCTGCAGCAATGTACTCGTCCGCGAGGGATTGCTTCCGATCCCTCCTAGAACATACAAAAACTCCTATAAACACTTTTGCCCTCATACAGAACTACTCATAATAAATTCTTCTTTTCGATCAATGTAGCCTACGAGCAACAAACAAGAATTTAAAAAAATAAACAAAATAAAACAATATTTTCGTAAAGATAACTTTAGATATAAAAATTCAGACACTTACTGTACAGATTTTTGTCGAGGTCTGAAGGCGAGAACACCCAATAAAACACTCAACTGTTCAATTAGGTTGATTTATTTCAGAAGGAAAAAAACTCACAATAATAAAAATCCAAAATAAATGTATGGTTTGCTCAGTAGCTAAACCATAGCGCTATCTAATTTGATCCTAACGCCATCTAGGGAAGCGTTAGGTAAACCTTGCACATACGAAATATTAGACATACCACCCACCAAGGACATATTGAAGAATGTCCTTCTCTTAGCATAAACCGCCCACCATGCAACATGTCTAACAATATAGAGTGCGCAGATACAAAATTTTAATATAACAATAACATAGGTGAAAGTAAATAAATGACAAACAAAAAAAATTGCGTAATTTTTAGAAATTAAAGGCATCCTATAATTGACAATACATATTATTAAAGCATACTTTACAAACTCAAAATTTAAGTTGCTATAGGAAGAATAGACAATTTGCTAATAGGTCTCTTTATGAGAGAATTTTTAGTTTTAACAGTAATGACTCGAGTGATTCCGTCGAGACCAGGATGTTTTAACTCAATCTTTCCCAGCAACCACTTACCAGGACATAAATCATCTTCTTTTATCCAAACTATGCTACCTATCGCTGGTTCGTGATTTTTGGTGAGCCCACTTACGTCGGTGTAAAAATTGATTTAAGTAATCTTGTGATCACCGCCGCCAATAGTCCTGCACCTTTCTTTGGGTAAGTTGCCATCGTCTGAGAGTAGAAATATTAGCCCTTTCGAAATTTGAATCAGGTGCAAGGACGAGGAGTTCGCCAACCAGAAAATGACCTGGAGTTAACACCGTTACCTCATTTTGTTCAACAATGGAAAGCGGTCTTGAGTTGAGGCACGCCTCAATTTGTACCAACACCGTCATTAATTCCTCGAACGTTATGTAAAGATCCCTATAACACCTCTGAGATGGTATTTAGTGGACTTTATTTCTGCCTCTCATAGACCACCGAAGTTTCGATCTTGAGGAGGAATAAAGTTCCACTTTGTTCCATCATTTGCCAAGCACTCAACCAATTCGGAAATGAATTTAGATTTTTCTTTAAATAATTCCTGCAGCTCTCGCGCAGCGCCAACAAAATTTGTGCCGTTGTCACTGTGTAGTTCCGCACAATTTCCACGCCTCACTATGAATCTCTTAAAGGCGACCAAGAAACCTTTGGATGTCATATCACTGACTGCTTCGATATGAATCGCTCGCGTAGACAGATAGACGAAGAGCACGATGTACCCCTTACACGACTTATTTCCACGTCCTTTAGAGTGTCTAAACTGTCTGGCGTTTATCGGGCCAGCGTTATCGACGCCATTGTACAGAAAAACTTTATTTGGTGTAACACGAGAAGATGGTAGCTGTTTCATTGGTTGGCTTCTGGCTTTATTTGTATATCTTATGCAAGTTACGCGTTTTCTAAAACACTCTCTTTTTCTTTTTTTCTTAGCACATTTGATTCTTAAGTTCAAGAACCTATAGTCGGCTACTACCCTGATCATCCTTGAAAGCGTTGAAAATCTGTCCCAAAACGAAACGTCAAGGGTACCTGAATGGTTTCTCACTTCCTCCAATTTAGTAATCAAATAGTAGTATTGAAGAATTCCCCTGGAGCCACGCCGCGAGAGGTACAATCCGCTGGATTGTGCTTGGATGGGACGTATGACCAATAGTGAGTATTCAATGTGTTTTAGATTTCAGCAACGCGATTGGCCACTAACGTTGTCCAGCGGCTTGGATGACTATTAAGCCATGCGAGAACAACTTCGGAATCCGTCCAAGCGTGCACATCTAATACATTTACTTCCAGAGTTTTCGCAACGTCCACCATCAATTTAGCCACTAGAACGGCTGCACATAGTTTCAACCTAGGAATTGACACTTGTTTGATGGGAGACACTGGTTTTCGAGGTAGCTAACGCAACTTGTATGTTACCCTCTGCATCTACAACTCTGACGTATACCACGTCAGCGTAGGCCAATTTTGAGGCATCCGAAAAATCGTGTAGCTCCGTCTTTAAGAAAGAAAGAAAGAAAAAAAAGAAAGATTTATTGCAGCACGCCACCAACATCAGTAGGCACTTAAATTTTAACATTTGTGGACACATCAATTATAAACATTGTGAACTGAACCTACAACCGATGGGGAAGAAAGGTTCTCGAGCGGCAGTCTCGTACCGGTAGGCGTAGTGTAGGGCGACCCCCACTAGATGGAGTGACGACCTGGTAAGACATGCAGGAAGTCGATGGATGCAGGTGGCTCAGGACCGTGCTTTGTGGCGTTACTTGGGGGAGGCATGACTTTGAAGATGCATTGACAGGAAATATTCAACAAAAGAAAACTCTAAAAGTAACACCCAGCGTTGATCAAGCTGGACCGTCAGGTGTCTTAAAAATAATTCAAACTAATAAGACAAATAAATTAAATAAAAGTTGCTGTGTACGTATAAATTCTTCGTCTTCGACAGAGTGCAGTGACGAAAGCAAGCGCTTCATAAACTGAGGACCTGATTCTATTTTCTGAAAATGAAAATTCTGAAGATGACTTACCATTGGCCAATCTCTATAAGTCCGATCATCAAAGCTGCTCCAAGGGACCTATCGATGACCAACTAATATTTTCAAAGCTGCCAGACTCTAGTCGTCAGTGTTGTATGACCAGTTACCAGCCAAGCTGCCCGAGCCCATTTCTCAGAGTTGCTGGAGAGGAGACAAACCTGTTGATGACCATTCAAGCTGCCCGAAACCATTTCTCCTAATTGTGACAGTGGAGATAAGCCCGTTTACCAGTTCAAATTAGCACAGCCTCCAGAGTCAAGTTTTCAGAACTGTGATGATGAGAAGGTGCTGTCCAAAAGAGATTATATATATAGAAATATAACTATCATCTGTATAATTTAACACTTTCATAGCTTTGAAATAATACTAGTTTTTTACGGAATTTATCGCGTATATTTAACTTTTTAATACCCGACGTTTCGAGAGCTTTACAGCACCCATGGTCACGGGAAGGACTGAGATGTTCAACGTCCAGATATCATAGTTAACCGCGGTTACCATAGATTAAAATTTAACTTTTGTTCCGATCTACACAGTACGAACTTATGGTACGAGTATCATGAAGTCTTGCAGTTGTATGCTTGGGTTGGGATTTAATTTTATTTATTATAGGATCCCAAGCAGATGGTAGCACCCAGCCATCTTCTCTATTGAAATTAGGATGTTTTTTGATTTCAATAGCCTCGCGAATCATCCTTGAAAGGAATCGGTGTTCTTTAGCGAGGATTTGTGGTCTATCAAATCTGATGTAGTGACGGGGGCGATCCTGTACATGTTCACAGACTGCAGACTTCCCGGAGTGTCGAAATTATACTATGAAAATAATTATACTATGAAACCGTTTGAAAGAACCCCAGACAATGGTTCTCCGGAAAGAATATTCAATTACCGTCTATCTAGAGCACGAAGAGTAGTAGAAAATGCTTTTGGCATCATAAGTTCTGTATTTAGAGTGTTATGAAAACCAATGTTATTGGAACCAGAAATTGCTACGAAAGTGGTACTGGCTACTGTTTATTTGCATAACTTTTTACAAAAAACAAGGGCAAATATTTATACACCACCAGGAAGTTTGGACTCTGAAATCGATGGAAATTTCGTACAAGGGTCGTGGAGAAATGAACAAGATTCGACTTCTTTTGTGCCTTTACGTGCAATTCCTCGAAGGTCTGCAAATGACGCAAAAGAAATTCGATCACACTTGGCTACACACTTCGTTACAAATGGACAAATAACGTGGCAACATAGATATTAAATATAAAATATAGTTAGCACTAATCACTATCCGAATCAGAAGAAAACATTATGTACGTTTAAACACTGCGAGGTTCTGTTGTTGTTCAGAAATGAAAGAAATAACGCACGCCACGACACGACACATAAGTGTGCACACTCACCGTCACAATAAGCACAACGACACGCCACGACATATAATAAATATATTTCCGCCTTTAGCCCAAAGCTTACTGAAACCAGATACTTACAGAAGGCGATGGTTCTGAATTTGTTGTGTCTCTTGCTGCAGAAGGCGACGATGTGTCGATAGACATTGAGTTTTGCGTCTCACGGGGAGAGAACTTATCAGCCAAGAAATAAAAGTGCTCATAAGCGAACCATTTCAATATATACACCTCATTACGACCTAGAATAAAAATCATTTTTAGAGATACACTACACACGTGAGTAAAATGAGTATTAAAATAAATGACAAGAAATATACAACTAATTTTCAAAAACCAATGTATTTTTACCTGATCCCGTGACAAGACTTTTTTATGTCGAGTATTTCCCTCCGCAAAGATCCACAAAGCGAAGTCATTTTTTTTTTACTTCGGAAATGGGTAGTTTCATTTCCTTACTTATTATTTTCCAAGAATCTTCTTTCAATTGTTTATTATAATGATGCCGTGAAGTTGGGCCCCACAAATGTCGGTGGTTTTCATATAACTTAGTTAATTCGATACATACATACGTGTATAGAAAGCAAATCTATGTGCACAATTTCGAACGGTTTAGTAGCGGGAGGAACGATATTAAATTGCGGTTTGATGGGATTACGATCGTACTTAGCTTGGCCACAGATAGTACAATCATTGATAAATTTGGTAATCTCTAATGATCTCGCATCTTTGGCCAGTAATAACGGCAAGACAAGGCAAGATGACACTCATTTATACCACGGTGGTTAGTTTTACCGTCGTGATAATTTTTGATAATCTACTCCTGCCTTAAATAGTCTTTTACATTTTCAACCTCAGTTTTTGTTAGCACTAAATTCATGGCCGAATTTTTAAACTTCTCTTGTATGATTGGAATAATGTCTTACATTGCTAAAGACGGATTGGTAAGTAAGGCCGTCTTAACTTTAGGGATTACGTATTCCTTTATAAGATTTACAACGTCATTCTCAAGATCTGATTTAGATACTTGCACAACTATTCTGTTATGAGTGTCAAACGGCTTGGAAGCCACGGGGCGTTTCTTTATGTCACCAACCACAGAGATAACAATCTGCCTATGGAATTTGTTTAGCGGCTGGTCTACAATAGGAACTTCAAGAATAGGGTTTTCCTTACTGGTATGTGCGGATGCTGTGGACGAATTTTCCACATAAGGCGGTCGTTCCGACGCGACAGCAATCATTGAATCCGTTTCTTCGTTATGTATCTCGACGCGCGAAAGGGCATCAGCGTTAGTGTTCGATTTGCCACTTTTATACCTTACAGTGAAATCATACTCGGATAACTTGAGTTTCCATCTAGTTAGACGCGCATTAGGTTCTTTTAGCTGCATGACCCACTGGAGTGGCTTATGGTCGATAATGATTTTAAATTTGCGGCCAAAAAGGTAGGGCCGGAATTGCTTTGTTGCCCAAACGATCGCGAGGAGCTCCTTCTCTATTGTGCTATAATTTTACTCACTGTCGTTGAGCGTGCGAGAAGCGTAACAAATTGATTTATCTGCACCTTCGGGGCCTTGTGATAATGTAGCGCCTAAAGCCACGTTAGAAGCATCGGTAGTTAAAATAAACTCCTTATTAAAGTTTGGGTGTTGCAAAATCGGATCATTAGTTAAAAGGTTTTTTACATTTTTCAAAGCAATCTGTATATTCTGAATTAATAACAACGCTATTTCCTTTCATGAGGTCTTGTGTAAATGGCTTAGTGATGCGCGCGAGGTTCGGGATAAATTTTCTATAATATCCCACTAGGCCTAGGTATTGCTTGATTTCTTTGGGGGTTCTGGGCATTGGATAGTTCTTAATAGATCTAAACTTGTCAGGGTTCGGCTTGATGCCGTCTTTGGTAATAATATGCCCCAAATAGACGGTCTTCAGTTTGAGAAATACGGACTTGTCCATTTGGACTTTGGAATTTGGTTCTCTAAGTCTCGAAAATACCTTTTCGAGGTTGATCATATGCTCTAAGTGATCTGCTATAAGTGAGGTGATAAAAACTACTATGTCGTCGAGGTAGACCAGGCAGATGACGGTTTGGAGATCCTTCAAGACATTTTCCATCACCCGCTGGAAGGTAGATGGTGAATTTTTCAGACCCATGGGCATGCGTAAAAATTCGTAATTCAATTCAATTCAAAATTAAAATTTTCCCATTTTCTACGTTAAACGCTGTTTTGGGTATATCTTCTGGGTCCAACTCGACCTGATAGAAACCACTAGCCAGATCGAGGGTCGAGAAATACTGGCAATTACCTAGCTTATCCAAAACGTCATTAATGTTGGGAATCGGATATTTGTCGTCAATAGTTTTTTCATTTAATTTTCGAAAATCTACGACTAAACGCCATTTGGTCTTTCCTGAGGCATCAGATTTTTTTGGTTCTATCCAAATAGGGGAGCTCCAGGCAGAATCCGATGGTCTAATTATACCCTGACTTAGCATTTTTCCTATCTCATCCCCGACCTCGTCGCGTTGTATGTAGCGATTACTTTTTGTGAAAACCGGCATCTCGTCAGATGTCCTGATCTTGTGTTTAATCTTATTTGTAAAAGTCAAAGCCTCTCCGTCAATATAGAATATATCTGCATATTTTTGACACAGATTCTCTAAGTTAATGCGCTCTTCCATATTAAGATGGTCTGTGCGCAAGCGTGACAGTACTTCGCGTTCGCGTGACGTCATTTGTTCAATGTAGACTTATAACGTCCAATGCACGGGGCATTGGACGTTATAAGTCTCTGCATGAACGGCGCGACCCGTAGAAAATATCAAGTCGTGCGAGGTTGGATTTGTAATTTCAAGAAAACCACGATTATTTTTGACGGTGGTTAAGCATTCATTTACTACGCAATTAGAAATAATCTGTTCGTCAATATAAGCGTCTCTGTCTTGCAAATTAATAGGGACCCTAACTAGCCTCGTCGTTTGTGCAGGGATCATGTCTTCATAAAAGTTAATATTCCGTGAATTATACATATGAATTGGAGTAACAGAATTACGAGTGAATAATTTTTTATCCTTAAGATCAATTTTGGCTTCCCAATTTTTGAAAAAGTCATGAAATTTATAAATGAACAATTTAATATTTTCTGTTTCCCGAAATTCGCTGAAACATGGCAAATGTATAGAATAATCGTTACGCGTGGTAGCGTGTACGTTTGTTACCTCGAAGGGGTCAAAGTTTAACGGGATTTCATGAAAAAATTTACCTACAGCTTCCGGGTAAATAAAAGACTGATTAGCACCCATATCAATCAATAATTTTAAAGGTGGATTTAAAATTTCTATGTACGGGAGCTGTCTCTGTGACTGCAAATGCAATTCTATTTTGGCTTTTCGGATTTCCCTTGCTTGGGAAAATCCTGTTCCTGTGCTGAGCTCGTACTAGGCATTTCGGGATCAACGTAGGATCCTAATGGGATCTCTTGAGATAAATCGTAATTTGGTAGCTCATTAATCACGTAATTTATTGGTTCTGGGTCGTAATACTCTGGGTAAGCCCCATAGTAAGAATCATTGGGTACCTTATATGCGTACTCGGGAAAGTAGTAGCAATGACCATCACCATAGTTCACGAATTCGTTCATGTTCATCTCCCTAGTCTTAAAGTAGTTAGATGGTGGCCGATTTCCGAATTTTCGCCAATCGTGACCAGACATTTGACCACCCGTGGGCCTTTCCTTTGTAACGTAGTGTCTTACACCACTCATAGGATTGAGGCCTGAATTATATGAATCGTTTCTTGGTGGGAGTTGGAATCTACTCAATTGTGGATTATAGTTAGGTGGTTGCGCGCGGAATATCAGTTGCGTGCGTGTCGGCATGTCTACAGGCCTATATGGTACGCGGGAGCATTGTTAAAACTATTAGGCCGCCATTATTGTTGAGAGAATTTAAAATTGGGCATAGACATTGGTTGTACGGGGAATTTATACGCGGCTTTATACAAAGGCATGGGTATTTGTGGTACCTGCGGTTTTTTATCTGCGGCAGATTCACTGCGATTCTGAAGATACATTACATTTAATTCTTCTTGTACACATTCAAGTGCCTTTTCTACACTATCAAGACGCATGCATCGTATGCGAGAGCCGAGAGGCTCTTTTAATCCGCGAACAAGTGCCTGCATCGTGAGCTTTCTGTAAAGGTCGCGCTTAGCTTTAATATCATCGACAGTATCGTGTAAGGTGACATAGGTCATGATAGTGCTGAACAAATTTACACATCGGTCGTAGAATTCTTGGGGCGAACTATTTCCCTGTGTGGCTATCATAAGATCATTATAAAGGGCGGTCTCATCTCTCTGATCGGAGAAATTACTGTTTTAATGCTATTCCAATCTTCAGCTATACCGTTAGAATTAATTATTCGTGCGGCAGGTCCAGTAATCTTATTTAAGATACCATTCACGAGGTAAAGTTTAGCTAATGCATTACCTTCGTTTTGATTTATATATTCCGCTGCGATTTGATCACATAAGTTTATAAAGCGGGGCAAAATATGCGAGTTACCGTCGGATTCGGGTACTAGGCGTAAGGCCTTAATAATTACGTCTATGTCAGTCATTATTGCGGATTCTGGATCGCTTAGTGCCTCAGAATTACTCGATAAAGTAATTGAACCTACACTTATATTCCTATTTGTATCTAAATTAAGTCTATGGGCCACTCGATTATTTGCAGGACCCCTAGAGGTGGATTACCTAGGATGAAATATCTTGGCGGTAAAAGAAAAAGGTAAATCATATGTAAAAGGAAGCAACAGAGAATCGGTATCAGTGTACTTACATACTCGTAAATTGCATTCTGGTTCCTCTGGGATAGATTTCTTGATTTATCCTCCAGCCAGGCTCCAGGTTCTTTTTCAGGATACTCGAAGACACGCGATCGCTCGCGACGGTAGCGATTGATTTAGGACGCGGGATTTCGATGTGAGAAAACCCTATCAAAACTACCTCAAGACGCCTTGATTATCCTACCGACTGCGCCAATTATAGTAACCACAGCCGGAGGACCCAGAAAAACCAAATTTATTTAAATGAATTTATTAAAACAAATTTTACAATTAAACTTAACCCTCTATAACTCAAAATCTTTAAATTACATATTTTTCATGGAATCGGATAGGATTATGAAATTAATAAAATACGTATTTTTTAAAATTATGTAATTTTTTATAAATCAAGCATAATACTACAAAAAAGGGAGTGTAGCTCCTAGGCAACAATGAGTTACAACAGTAAAAATTAGTTAATATCACTTTAATTGAGAAGAATGTAAATCAGTTACAACAGATGGAAATTCCTGAAACAATTTTTGTTTTTGGTATAACATAAAGCTACGCCGCATTTATCACACACCGTATGAGTAAATCCAGCACACTTTGGGAACTTACAACGGATTTTTTTTCTGCCCATTGAGGCCAGTGACCGACTTGATCTTGGCGGACTGCTTGTGGAGGTACATGTTGGGCAGGTCCTTTGTGTTTCTTTGCTAGGATTTGACCTTCAATAGATCGGCGTATTGTTAAACCCGTTTTCACCCCCATCTTGCACAATGTTTCGGCAATTTCCAGGCGAAAATCTGCAGATGCCATGATGGTCTTGTTGGGAATGTTTTTATACTTGCAGACTCTTTTATAGAACAGCCATGCATTAGCCATTGTTAGGTCTAAGAAGTGATAGAAGAGACGCATCTGCCAACGTTTGCTTCTCAGTTTTATCTTGTAGATGCCCATAATGCTATCTACAAGGTCCACACCGCCCATATGACGGTTATACTCGCTCACAACATTAGGTCGCGGGATGTTTATGTATCTTGAGTTCTTTTTGTCGTATCTCCGGACTTCGCTTATAGGATTTAGACCAGCAAATGTGGAAGCCAATGTAACAAGCTTATTGTCCTTCCATACAACCGTTGACACGTCGACGCCGTTGACATCAGCTATGTACTCTTCAGAATATCCTCGATCTTTCTTCATAATCTCTTTTTCTGACGACAGCTTGCAGTCAGGTATTCTATTCCTTCTAATAGTACCTAGCCCAAGAATACCTTCTTTTGCTAAATATTCCAAAAGATGCAAGGATGTGAAGTAGTTATCGAAATAGAGCCTGTAATTTTGGTGTCGCGGAATCATACGCGATAATCTCACTACTACATTGGAAGAAGCTCCTAAATCTGGCTCGTCGGGTCTGACAACATTCTCTTTGCCAGATTCAATCTCTATTGTATAAGCAAAACCGGAAACACCACTCAAAACATATAATTTATAACCCCACTTATGCGGTTTCTTGGGATTATACCTTTTCAGCATGTTACGCGCTTTTGTAGAGCAAATTTGCTCATCTACGCAAAGTTGTTTTTCTAATGGAACTTTACCATAAGATTCGTTCAAGGCATCAACGACTGGGCGAATTTTGAAGATCCTATCGGAGTCAGGGTGGGTCCTATGTAGACATTTAGTGTTATCATTAAAATGCAGATATTGTCTAATCTTTTCAAATTTATTAGAAGGCATGGTCTGTTGAATTACAGGTGTACCCAAGACGGAACTCCAGTGGTTGGTCACTCTGGGTAGCTGAATCAGTGACATCATATATACTACCCCTATAAATTGACGCATTTCTGTCTCCGATACACGAAACGTGCTGTTTGGGTCTTTTTGTACCACGTAGAGGTTTGTCTCTTCCGAAATTCTCTTTATGAGTTCTGGTGGAAATAAAAAAAGAAAGAACTGTATTGGAGTATCAAGGTCCAAGATATCAGAACTCAATGACTCATTGCCAGTAAAAGCCAGCTGCTGTGCATTCAGCTCTAAATTCTTCTTTTTCCACCGTAATGTTAGCTTTTCAGGCTTTCGACGTTTTACAGGGGGGATCTGAAGTACCTGGAATGTCTGAACTAGATAAGGCCGGCCCTACTTCTACCTCAAAGTTGGAGTTACGGTCGTCATCATTCAAGGTGTCTACTAGTGCATCTATGTCGAATTCAGCTTCCAAAGATTCGTCAATCGACTCTTCAAAATCTGGTTCAAAGTCAGGATCCATCAAACTATCGTCATCTAAGTCGAGTCCATCTTCACTTAAATCACATTGAAGTGCGCAGGCGATTTCGTTTTCATTTAGGTGAATTTGGTGAGCCATGCTAAAACAAAATAATACCGAGTGTAAATATCCACAGTGTTCGTACAAGATAGTTCCCCTTTCCGCTCAATGTAGCCTACAAGACACAAACACTAATAGTCACCTAATACATAAAAACTGTAAATTATCAGCAAAAATATAATAATATGGTAAACTATAAACACTTACCTTACAGATTATCAAGAAAAGAAACACCAAAAAACAAAATAACTATTTTCTTATATTTTTTGTCTTTTAACATACTCTGAGCATTTGAAACTTTTCACTTCACTAACGATATTTCGTTGTTTGAGCCAAGTAGCGACATCTAGTTTGACATGCTTGTACTAAATTGAAAGAAGAGAGTGTAGACAATACTCTACATTGCTTGAAAAAACGAATTAATTTTACTTGGAGAATTTAGGAAAGGTGAAACGGTATGTTGCCTGTAGTCTACCATACGTTACAGAGGGTTAAGTCTATGCCTGATCGATGGTAGATACAGAATGCTTAAATTTTATTTTATGAAATACAATGTTGCATCGCGGTAAACGCGCATTGACGTCAATCGGGGTGCAGTGTCAGCGGCGGTGATCACGTTGCGCCCGGTGGCGGCACGTGTTAGCGGTGTCAGCAGGTGCTGTATCGAGGTCATCTCTTATTGCAAATTACTAGGAAGAGCTTGATATAACACAGTTTTTTTAAAATACCAAAACATTATTAAAGGTAAAATATAAGTATACAGGTTGACCAGTAAATAGCACGACATACTGCAGGGGGTGATATCTAGGGTCACTACCTATCAATACAACACAATATATGTTCAGCAAAATCTTACGGATTTACATAATAACATTACAAAATTTTCCGAAATACCGAAAAATCTCTACCTTGAAACAGATTTTTAAGCATCTCGTAATGAAAAAATCCTTTTCTAGTACTTTTTTTACATCAAATTATTCGTGAATAGTTACTTTACTCATTGATAAGTCTTTTTTTCTATCAAAGACAAGAATGTTTTCAAGAAATACTATTTTTTGTTTAAATTTGCACAGAACTATTTTCTTATCACTTAAGTTTAACCTACAGTGGTGAAAAAAAATGTATGTGGCAGTTTTGTACAACAAACTTAAAAAATAGCTTGTTTAATGGTGATTTAGGAAAGATACAATACTAGTGCATTTTCATTAAAAAATACAAAAAAATGCTATTTTAGTTCCAGAGAAGCTGATTTTGTTGAAAATGTAATTAACGTAATTTTGACAAAAACCACTATGAGAATAAGTAATAGCTGCTCATTTACGCGAATTATTATAAAACTAGTTGTGACACGTAAAATGCGACATGCACGCGTAATAACTAAAGGTTTTTACCTGCTCGCCGACCGACCCGACCCGACCGGTTACTGTCTAGCAAAAGAAGCGCATGTGCTATCCCGCTCTTTCTTGCATTGTGATTTTGTGTCTCACTCTCAACCTTATTTGCGACACTTGTCAGTACGCTACCTCAAACCGTGGGTAACGCATCTCTGTGTTCACAAATTATTGTTTCGTACTGACGACTGTTTTGTGCCTTGGACCCCGGACTTTGTTTGCCTTACGATTTGGATTTTTTATTGTGATCACTACGACGACTTGGCGACCACCTGGACTTTTGTGTTTTATAACATGGCCAACCGCCGCGTTTTTCCTGGTTATACGCAGCGAGAGTATGCTGAGATGCCTTATTTACGGAGAAGCTGGCCAAAGTTCCCGAGCTGCTGCCACCCTCTACAGGGAAAGGTTTCCCGATAGGAGACATCCACACCATGAAATGTTTACCAGACATGGAAGGCAGACTCCCTGGTCAACGTGGCGGTGGACGGCCTCAAGTTGTTGACGAAGACATAGTGCTTCAGGAACGAGAACAAGACCCGACAACTTCGGTTAGGGCGATACAACGGCGCACAGGGATACCGAAGTCCACTGTTCATTCAGTACTTAAGAGGTATGGATACCATCCATTTCACGTGCGACGCGTGCAAACTCTTTTAACTAGAGACTACCTGCCGAGAGTTCAATTCTGCCGCCGCATGCTTGAAATGCATCGGGAGGACCCAAACTTTTTTAATAAGGTGTTATGGAGTGATGAGTCAGCCTGCAGAAAGGACGGCTACTTGAATTTGCATAATTTACATAGTTGGCAATTAGAAAATCCGTATGTGTCAAGAGAAGACAGATTGAAATAATACTAATTTTTACGGAATTTATCGCGTATATTTAACTTTTTTACCCGACGTTTCGAGAGCTTTACAGCACCCATGGTCACGGGAAGGACTGAGATGTTCAACGTCCAGCTGTCATAGTTAACCGCGGTTACCATAGATTAAAATTTAACTTTTGTTCCGATCTACACAGTATGAACTTATGGTATCATGGAGTCTTGCAGTTGTATGCTTGGGTTGGGATTTAATTTTATTTATTATAGGATCCCAAGCAGATGGTAGCACCCAGCCATCTTCTCTATTGAAATTAGGATGTTTTTTGATTTCAATAGCCTCGCGAATCATCCTTGGAAGGAATCGGTGTTCTTTAGCGAGGATTTGTGGTCTATCAAATCTGAGGTAGTGACGGGGGCGATCCTGTACATGTTCACAGACTGCAGACTTCCCGGAGCGTCGATTCTTCACATCAGCTATATGTTCTTTGACGCGGGTTTTAATTGATCTTTTAGTTTGTCCTATGTAGGAGAGACCACATTCACAATCAAGCTTGTACACTCCTGCATCTTGCAGAGGGACGTTACACTTGACTGATGGTAAAAACTGACCAATCTTCTTCGGCGGCTTGAAGTATGTTTTGATGGAAGCGCGCTTCAAGATGTAGCCAATCTTGTCAGTGACTCCTCTAACATATGGCAGTACAGCAGGTACACGCTCGACTGTGGCCGGCTTCACTCGTTCTCTGTGACGTAGGCGGGGGACCCGAAGCTTGTTGTCATGCAAAACTTGCTTGACATGTTGGAGCTCGGCAGCCAGGTGTTTACTGTCACAGATCCCTCGTGCTCTCTGAAACAAAGATTTACCCACGGTAGCTAACTGTGAAGGATGGTGGTGAGAATCACCGTTTAAATATCTATCTGTATGGGTCTTTTTTCTATACACAGTATGGCTCAAGGTGTTATCAGGATTCCGAATTACTAACACATCTAGAAAGGCTAAGGAATTGTTTGCCTCTAACTCCATTGTGAACTGAATTTTAGTATTTATAGAGTTAAGATGGTCTAAAAATGCAGTTACTTTATCTAAAGGTAGAATTGTGAAAGTGTCGTCTACGTACCGCTTGTAGAATCTTGGATTTATGGGAGAAGTAAGCAGGGCTTTCTCCTCAAAGTCTTCCATGAATATGTCGGCGACAATGGGAGATACAGGTGAGCCCATCGCCACACCATCTACTTGCTTGTAGAACTCCTCCTTCCACAATAGGTAGCCAGATGTAAGGCAGAGTCTGAGTAATACTGCATATTCTACGGGCATGTTGTTTTCTTCCAGCCTTCTAGTTACAATTGAAATGCAGTCTTCAACAGGTAAGCATGTAAACAATGACTGCACATCAAAACTGACCATAGTTTCATTGTCTGCCAGACGTAGGTCTTTAATCTCGCTGACAAAATGGTAGGAATCCTTTGTGTGCTCTTGTATGTCCCCTGAGCGGTGAGAGTATTTTCGCTAAGTGTTGAGCCAATCTGTAAGTTGGTGAATCGATTTGGCTCACTATGGGGCGTAATGGAGCATTGGGCTTGTGTATTTTTGGTAACCCATACAACTTTGGTGATTTGGCGCACGTAGGTATTATCCATTTTACGTCCAGATTTAATTTTTCGGAGTGTTTCTTTATGAGGTCACTAGTTGTTTTTAGTGTGCTGTTTGTTGGGTCGTTTTTAACCTTTTTATAAGTACTTACATCCGACAAAAGTTCTTGTATTTTAGAATTATAATCTGACGTATCCATGACCACCGTGGCGTTTCCCTTATCTGCGCGGAGAATCGTAAGTTCTGGTTTATTGCGTAGGTTCTTTAACGCTATAAATTCGTCTCTGGGAAGATTCGGTTTAGGCACTGAACATCGACGTAACATAGACGAAATGTCTTGACGTATCGCCTCCAAATCTTCTTTCCGCATATTGTTTTTAAATAAACAGTCCTCGACACTACAGATAATTTCTTCGTACGGTAATCTGCTTGGAGTTATAGCGTAATTTAGTCCTTTGGATAACACCTTTATTGTTGCATCATCCAGTGTTTGTTTTGACAGATTATAGAACGCGATTAATCTATGATCTGTGTTTGTCAATGGTTGCTTTTGGTTCTGGCATTGATTCGGATGTTTGATCGGAACAAAAGTTAAATTTTAATCTATGGTAACCGCGGTTAACTATGACAGCTGGACGTTGAACATCTCAGTCCTTCCCGTGACCATGGGTGCTGTAAAGCTCTCGAAATGTCGGGTAAAAAAGTTAAATATACGCGATAAATTCCGTAAAAATTAGTATTATTTCAATGTGTAGTGTTCGCGTAAATATAAGAAATCATTAAGAGAAGACAGTTCCCAGTACCAACTCAAAATAAATTTATGGTGAGGAATTTTTAATGGCCAGATTGTGGGTCCCGTCGAGTTTCCACCTACATTAAATGACAATAATTACTTGGAGTTTTTACGAGAAACCCTACCCACGCTCCTTGAAAATGTTCCGAGTGAGCTAAGAGAGGTGATGTGGCTTCAAAATGATGGGTGCCCTGCTCATTATGGCCGGGAAGTAAGAGCCTACTTAGATGAAGCTTATCCAGGCAGGTGGATTGGGCGACTGGGACCGATATTATGGCCACCTAGGTCTCCGGACCTAAACCCCCTGGATTTTTTATTGGGGTGCCATGAAGGACAAAGTCTATGAAAAACCGATCCAAAATGACAATGAATTGAGAGCAAGGGTTAACATTGCAGCAAGAAAAATATCGGAAATAAGCCTGAGAAGACTCAAAAGCTC